TTTTACAAGGACAATTGGTAACTCCAATTTTGAATATGAATTCACCAATTGCTGATTCGGTATTATCACAACCTCCTGTAAGGGTAAAAAGAAAATCACCCATTGAATCACCCATTGAATCGGTATTACCACTACCTTCTAAAAGGGTGAAAACACCATCATCCGAACTGCATTAGGCTTTTAATTATTTTTCAACTTATCTGTATATAAATTTTATAATAAAAAAACTTGCAATTTTTTAATAAGTGTGTTGCACTAAATTTCATTGACTGTTTACGTTTTACACTCGTTATAAAAGTGCTTGTTGCAAAATACTATTTAATAGCAATTAATTATACTTCGCTAAACAAAATAATATAATGATTTTTATATTTGCTAAAAAATATCTATAGCAGTTTAATATGCTTGAAAAATATCTAAGTCTCCGCTTGAACAAAATCCACACGTCCCTGGCACAAGAGTGGTGCTGGGTACAAGTGCCAGGCACAATTAAATAATAATATCAAATTTCTGTGCCAGTGCTTACGCCCATGCTTTTGCCAAAATTTTAATATCTGTGCTTATGCCGTGCCCATGGTAGATTTTTTTTGGAGCACGGGCAGTGCCTAGTTTGCAGAACCCTACTCACTTTATAAACCTGAATTCTTAAGATGGACTAAAAAACAAGTTTGAAGAGTATAGTTTAAAGAAATCGCATTTATTAAAAACAAATCAAACGTAATGATGAAAGGCTATGCTAACATAAAATATATGCTTATCAGTGAAAAAAGACATAAAAGCTCTAAAAAAAAATTTAAACCTTTTAACTGTTGCTTACACGCTAATTCCCTCCTTTTCATCTGAATTCAGACCTTTTATAGAAATTCAAGCACAAAGAAGGTATATTTAAATTAGTTGTTTAATAAATACAATTAGTGGAGAAATTCGATGACAATATTTATATACTACAAAGTCAATTCTACTCTTGTATTTTGTCACGAAGATGTTTTCATTACCATTATTATTTTGTACAAAGATTTTATTTTATAGTGCATATTTAAATTTTAAAATATTTTTCATTTTCATAGTATTTAATTTGATAATGCAAAAGTTTCGAATATCACGTGACAAATTATCGAGCACCAAAAATTCATGTTAATTTGAACAAAAAACAAACGAAAAAATTTATAGACTAACAAAATAATAACGATAAGCAATAAATTAATCATTTTATTTATTTCGAATAAATACGGTAAACGTAATCCAGAAAGTATTATGATTACGGTTTTTCGAAGTATTTGGAATATTCCTTGCCTTTTAAAATAATTACAATCCTATTCCAATTTATGCAATGGCTCAAAGTTTTTAGTAATGCTATCGGACCATTTGTTACTATTTGGATTCATTATGTTCAATGATTTTTTTTTTTTTTTTGCTGCGTTCTAGATTCAGAATTATAAAAACTTTTTTTAAATAAATAATCAGTTATAGTCTTCCGGAAGATCATTAAAAATAAAATCTACAAGGTTTTCTGCAATTCATTTTCTTAATTTTTTTTCGTTTATTATTAGTGGAAATGTGGTTACGGCAATCAATGTATATTTTTAGAATAATGTGTTTATTTGAATTTTATGCTTTTAAATGAATCACTTGGTTTGTCGAGATTGCAACGATCGCTTTTCATTTTGAAGAATCGATCGTAACTCTGGTAAACATAATTTTGGTGGAATTCGATTCGGTCCATAGTCCAATATTAGTTGGTAGATTTGGA